TATTTGGGTCTTACTAAGGTGGTAATGAGCCTACTAAACCAAACCAACCTCCATTTCGTTTTAGTCTCACAATGTCGCTTGAAGAAGAGGATGGAAGGGAAATTTTCTTCCTTAAATAAAAGAAGGGGAATTTTCGTTTCTTCGTGTTCTTTCCTTTCACTTGTAATTATAGCTAATGCTATTGATTCCATGAACATGGAACACTAAATTAAAACATTACCTAATTTTGATCCGATTAGCTTAAATAGAATTAGTTTTGAGATTGTGTTTCTGTAGTTTCTTTTTTCTAGTAGCAGCGGTTAATATTTTGCTACTCTGATGTACTTTAATATTTTTCTGAATAAATAAAGATTTACAGTTTATAAACAATTGCATAATGACTTTGGATAAAATGTAAATAATTTCATTTATCCAATAGTTATCAATCTACAAGTTTGGTACCAATAAAGCTGTCACAAAAGAATGAAAATACTCCTTATATTTTTACAAAATCAAATTAGTGCACAAAGTTTTTAATTTTACAATTTAAGGCTGTAGAAAGGAACAAAGCCACAAAGGGAAGGATTTCGGCTAAACAAACCCAAAAAACTTTATCCCTGACATCTTTTTGTTTTTAATCAACAATGGTTGTGTCTAGCTAGCCTGGATGGCTGTTGATGAATCTTTTTGTATAATGACTTAGTATAATAACTTTGATGTTGATATCATTTGACTTGTAGGTTTAGCTATTTCTCAGTCGATTTGCTGCTACTAAATGTAATAAAAAAAGGGAGATTTGCTATTATTATATTATTATTTTATATTTATAATAAAAATATCTTATATTAATTTTTATCCACTTTAAAATTAATTTTTTTTTCAAGTAATTATAAAAATACACTTCTCACGTTAGTGCATTCAAAAAAATTAATTCTTTATTAATCAAAACATTACATCAGACGCCGCAATATTAATTCTCATCAAATCTCCAATAAAACGTATCATACCCGTACCACCATCCGTTTCCTACTTACGAAGGTAACACATTAAACTTAACAAGCATTTCGCTCCATAATAAATAGGAAAAAATTTTAGATCAATGTAAGTATAAATTTTTTTATATATATATCAGATAATAAATTATACAATAAAAAATAATCAT